TAGATGTTTTCTTTTCAGATTATTTGGTTTTCGGCACTACACCTAACAAAATTGATCAGATTGATTAGATCCTGGCTAATCTTTCTACTGTAAAATTTTTCCCGAAACCTGTGGCGCCCAATGCATTCAGTATGTCGATTACATTTCATCATCATATCGTTTTATCTGTATGTACTAGTAGAAATCTATGTACTAGTACTAGTACATAGATCTATCTATGTACTAGTACTCCTGTACTAGAGAATTAAATAAGCTTTACTAAAGAAAAACAAAAGTAATATTTGAAAATTTCCTTTAGATATCAATTTAAAACCATTCTCATTTGAATCAATTTTTATAATTGTATTTCCTTTTTAAACACAGTGCGATGAAATGCATATCTCTCTTTTTCTAGTTAATGATGCGTAACAATTCTTTGTAGTGAAATAAAACAGTATTTATGCGTGAAAAACGTGTTGTAATTTAAATTATTTATATAAAAATAATTCAATTTATTTTTTATATTATATTTGTTGCAGAGAAACCCGTATTTCCGTACAAATATAACACTGTGAAATGAATCAAGAAAGAAATGCCTGTAATGGCAACAACTACATATGTTGAAATTTGCAAGTAGTTTAATCTACCACTTTTAACAATTACACTCATGTCCATAAATTAAGGATAATGAAGTTCAGGCAAAGACAGAGACAGAAGCAAAACAAATTTGACTTATTTGTAAAGTCTATTTATTAAACAAAAGGTAAAGAGCAAAAAAGATGCTATATGTTTGACAAGATTAATAAAAATTGCTATTTTTACTCCCTGGAGCAAATTTCAAAAACGAAGCTATTTACAAAAAACAATATAACATGGTTAGTATGATGGTTAATATGGAGTATGTCTCCCGGACGATGCAATACAGGCCTTACAACGCCTAGGCATGCTGAGTATCAAATTATCAATCTGATCTTGGGGAATATTACAACACTCATCACGCAATTCCGTCCGAAGTTCCAGTTAACAGGGGTTGACGGGCTGCAATTCGTCGGTCAAGCATATCCCCCACATGCCCTATTGGATTCAAGTCCGGTGAGTATGCTGGCCAATCCATACGGGTGATATCCTCCAATTGAATGTATTCGTCTACAATGTTTGCACGGTGAGGACGGGCATTGTCATCCATAAACAGAAATTCAGCACCCATGGCGCCCCGAAACAAACGTACATGTTGTTCCAGAATGGCATCCCGATAGATGTGGCCTGCCATCGTTACACTCTGAACATGCAGGTTAGTTCTGGAACCAAGAATAATTCCTCCCCAAACGAGTCATCCTGCACCACCGTAACGGTGACGTACAGGTGAAATTTTTATTTTAGAGTTCAATTTCAGTGTGATTCTGAATTATCCTTAATTTATGGACATGAGTGTACCTTCTGGTCGAGGGAGTCATGTGGATGTTGAATTGATGTCTTGAGTTTAACCTGCCTCTGGAATCCTTTTAATCTATCTTGGGACAACCCGAACCGAACCTGTGGCAGAGAGTACAGAGAGCCGAAGGACCATAGAGCGAACAAACATCGCGATATCTCCCATCTACCTACACGTGGCACTACAGGATGTTGCGGCATTCATTTTTGGGCATTCCTTGCATGAGAAATTCCCAAGGCACACCCTGGGTTGTCCAGTTAGCGTATTGGTCTTGGTATCCGTCTACGAAGATATCACTGACGATACATTCACGCAGCACTGATTCAGTTGCAGCCAGCAATGCGATAAACGAAATGCCACTTCGTGCTATGTGTAAGTAGCCATGTTATTCCCCAGGCGTCCTTTGCTCAAGTATAGAGCCTCAAACTGATCTGTTCGTGTTTTCAAAGGAAGAAACTCTAACAACTCCTGTTCCCCTTATGCGATTCTTTTAAGGCCCTTATTAATGTTCTTATGTCATTTTATAATTTTTCCCTATGCGAGCTTTGCCTTTTCACATTTCGTTTGTCATGTTATTTAGATTCAACCAGTGCACGCCATAAAACTCATGAGAATTAAGACGACAGATGCCTACGATAATAGTTGCAAGTCTGGCAATCTTAATTGAAGCTAGCGCATTGTTTACAATCTGTTGTTGCTTCGAAAATTATCTAAGCTAGTCTTATTTTTTCTTCGCTTCATTTTTTTTTAAAGTGTCAACAGGTTGCTTTACGAAGATCAGGAGCATTTATACGAGTAACAAATGCCTTTTCATTTCCTAGTGATGCAAGTTATCAACATTCATCAAGTGAAAATGCTGCTTCATGAGTGAAAATTTGCTGAAAGTTTCGGTTTCCAAAACTTATTAAACTATAAATATTGGTTTTAACTTTCTTCAGTTCTCTTTGTTGATTACGATTACCTTTTAGCTCCTTCTTTTTCACTGGTGCAGCAGCCCATGGTGGCCAAGGCCGTCTCCCTTGAGACAGATTTCGGGACAGCAAATGTTTTCTTTTTACTGTCTTGGGCTTACAGCCCTTCGCCTAACACTTTACTGTAAAATTAGACCGTGTTATACGGCTTAAAGTGCATTTCCAATCATTAAAACATCCATGGCTACGCTGGTTCTCGAACCCGAAACCTGTCACACCAGCACAGAGAGTAAATTTGAATACAATTTATCATTCTTTTTATTTGTAATATGCCATGCACTCGAAATTTAAACGTGCTTTAATATACATAACGAAAACAATATTAAAACTTCATTTAGATATCAGTTCAAAATTATTGTCATTGATATCGGTTTTTGTAATTTTATTTTATTTGCATATGTTATGAGGCAGATCTTGGTATTGAAATGAAACAACATTTAGAACTGTAAAGCGGGTTATAATATTTATGGAACAGATGTTATATCTGTTGCAATGAAAATCGTATTTAAATTACCGATTGAATAAATATTCCTTATTAATTTATTGAAGTGACCCAAGAAAGAAATGCCAGTAATGGCATCAACTACAAATGGAGATACTTACTGGTAGTTTAATCTACCACTTTTACCACTTGCTAGAGAAATACCAGTATAAATACCAGACAACAAACATCTAGTTTCACCCAGATGAGCGCCAGTGGTGTGGTGTGCGGGCTTCAAACTCGTAGCTGATGAGAATCAGAGTGGTTAGATTCCACCTTCTGGGCAAGAGAGACATGGTGATGTCGAACACATGTTGTGTGTTTATTGTAACCATGTCTCTCTTTTAATATACTTTGAAACAATGCTCGCTTCAATTCATGCAATTTATTTTTTATATTATATTTGTTGCAGGGAAACCCGTATTTCCGTACCTAAAGACTGAATAATTATTTCTTAATAATTAATTAAAATTAAAATATAATTCTGTGATATGACTCAAGAAAGAAATGTCAGTAATGGCATCAACCGCATATGTTGATATTTGCAAGTAGTTTCTACGACTACCACTATTCTATCACTTTGAACAATTACTACAGAAATAACATACATTTCGCCTCTCATGTCAACAACTGCCGCGTTAAACTTAACGTCAACAAAACCGAGACAGTACTCTACACTTGGAAACTTCCAAACATTACTATTTATAATCATCCTATTTCTTGATCAAATGAGGCAAAATACCTTGGAGTCATACTGGACAAACACCTTACGTATCGCTCGCATATTAATTACATTAAGAATAAATTTAATTTAGTTATCCAAAAGCTATACCCACTCATTACACGAAGTATTTACACCACCATAGACAGTAAAATTCTTATTTATATGATCTACATGCGTCCCATTATTACATATGCTAGTCAAATATGGGAATCCGCCTGCAAATCAAGAATTAAGGACATCCAAATTTTGGAGAACAAGGTCTTGCGCATGGCAGTTGACGCACCGTGGTACATGCGAAATAATGTCATATTCTCTGCTTTGGACATTACTACCTTTAAAAACTTATTCACAAATTAGCCACAAATTTTTATAACACTCGTAACAATCCAAGTCCTTTAGTTAAAAGATTACCTGAATAGGGCATAACGCTACCTACCAACAATAAACGTCCGATTACCTCTCTGACCATACTAAATAAATATTTATTCAGCTCTCTCTATATATGTATTTAATTCCCTCTATTTTATTTTTATTTTTATTTTACTTCATTTACTGAGCAAGTCATTTCTCTTATCATTTGCCTCTAAAAGAACCATCAAGATAGATGTATATGGAGGCTAACTCTGCCAAAATGCCTCAATAATATCCAGCTGTTCTAGCATCACCAAATGAACGCCAGTGGTCTGGTGTGCGGGCTTCAAGCCCGTAGCTGATGAGAATCAGAGTGGTTCGATTCCACCTTCTGGGAGAGGGAACCATGCTGATGTTGAACGGATGTTGTGAATTTAACGTGCCTATGGAATCCTTTAAATCTTATCTTGGAACAGCCCGAACCCGAAACCTGTTACACAGAGTACAGAGAACAGGTTGATTGCACTATATCATCATGTCTTTTTATTTGTAATGTGTCATGTACTAGAAATGTAAATATGGTTTAGTTTATATAAAGAAAACAATATTTAAAAATTCATTTAGATATCAGTTTAAAATTATTGTCATTTGTATCGATTTATATAATTTTCTTTTCTTTTCTAAAACAGTGTAATAGAATGCATGTCTCTTTTTTTATATCATTTTGAATATGTTGAGGAGATATCGAGGCTTTTTGATATTGAGGCTGTACTTAGTATTGAAATCGAACATCATTTAGAACTAAAAAAAAGGTTATAATTTTTTTTTTGGAACAGATGTTATATTATATTTATTGCAATGAAAACCGTATTTCAGTAACTACCTATTGAATAATTGATGCTTAATAATTAATTAATCTTGACACATGAAATGACACAAGAAAGAAATGACAGTCATGGCATCCTCTACAAATGGTGACACTTGCAGGTAGTTTAATCCACCACTTTTAATATTTGCTGCAGAAGTACCAGTATAAATACCAGACAACAAAGTTGTAGTGCCGCCCAGATGCGCGCCAGTGGTCTGGTGAGCGGGCTTCATCCCCGTAGCTGATGATAACCGGGGTGGTTCGATTCCTTCTTCTGGGCGAGTTAGACATGGTATTGTGAATTTAATACTACTATGTAACCCTTTTAATCTATTTTGAAACAATCCTCGCTTAAATTCATTTGGATCCTTTTAAAGAATATATGTATAGAAGAAAGGTATTTCTTCGTAGTACACTTGTTTATGCTGAATACTTTTTTAACTATTATCTTTTAAACGATTATAAGTATTTTTCACTCGGAAAAGTTGTTTGAGTTCGCTACAAATCTATATTACAATAAACAGACCATTATTTATACGCACTCCTGAAAACTCTCGTGAAGTTTTTCTATTCGCAGAGCGTTGCGATATAGAGGTCCGAGGGCCAATTGGACAGCGCTCTGGACCTTGGAGCTTCAGGTTCAAGGCATGGTTGCTTGTTAGGGGTTCGAAATCCATGTCAAACTGTATTGTAATAAATGATAAATCCGCATATGCTGTGTGCACTCTTGAGCTGATTAGCCTAAAGTGTGCGCAAAAATGACCGTAGAGCGGCAAACTGAGCCAAACGTCGTGATGTCCCTCTTTTACCTGCAGGATGCTGCGGCTCTAATTTTATGGGTATTCCTACCTTGAAGAATTCCCAAGGCCCACCTTGTTGACATTTTTCATTTATATATAACTAAATTGTTTCTATTTTTCAGTTTGGAATTCACGCAAGAAAAGTTTATTCATCTTTTTTTTTCTTTTATTTGGCGCAACAGCCCCATGAGGGTTAAAAGCCCCGTGCTTAGTGGCAGATCAAGAAACATTTCTGTTAATTGAAAATTATTCAGTTTTGAACGATGAAATAGATATCTACCATTTTTTTTCTATACATATATTCTACGATCTGTAATTACCTACGCATGTCCATTCTGGTCTTATGTCGCTTAAAAACTTCCTTAAGCACGTTTTGGAAATTTTCTAAATTCTACTGATAACCACGGGAACTCCGCAACCCAGGAAATTAAAATTTATGCTCCTAATAATAATATTAAAAGACTGCTGAATATTTTAATTAAATATTATTTTCAATTAATCTGGGCAATTTACCTAATAGCCAATTGTTTATATCTCGTTTTTCCGGAGATGAGCTCCCTCGAGGCTAGAAAAATCAAAATATTTTAAATCCTGTAAATTTTAAAACATGAATTAACAAAGGATTATATTTCATTGCGCTATATTGCGTGCATTGTTCCCGCCTTAAAATATGGGAAACTATTTAGAAACATCACACCTTTTACCATAAATTGCGTAGAAAATTTCCAAGCGGCTAAGTCGGTCACATTTAAAATGATGGGCTGAATAGGGGAGAAAGGTATTTTCGGAACGGTGTTAATTTCAAATTTAATTTTAATTTTTAATCGTTAGCAATTTAAAATACATACTATCGAAAAGAAAGTTAGATAGAAAGAATAATCATTGTCTGTTAAAATCTGTTAATTTATTATGCATAATAACTTCCTTTCAAAACCACATTGGGCCATTTACATTTGTCCAGCATCCTAACAAGAATTAGCACAGTTATTATATCTTACAATTTTTTTCACAGCAATATCTTTTACATGTTTAAAGCTTAGAAATTGCACTCATCAAAAGACATTCTTGTAATTTAAATTTTATTACAAAAAACAAAAAACAATATTGCATACTGTATCATATAACAGTGATACAGTATTGTGGAAGTATCACAGTAAAAACCTTTTAAATTTGAATTTGATAGTTCTACATTTTTTATAATCTGGCACCGATCGAGTCTTTGCAATTGTTTTTTTTTCATGTGGCGTCGTGCATGTATTCCTCTTCACTACAAAGTTGTTCGCTTTTTTTTGTCCCAGTGCTTAATAGGAGGAATATTACTTATTTCTATTAGTTATCTGGATAATAGTTCTTAATTTGAATAAAAACCAACTTTTTTTTTTAATTTCCTGGTATAAAAGGTTTCAAATTGCAAAGATTGTTGGCTTGTTTGATTCTGTATCAGTAACTCTATTTAAATTTGCTATGAAACTTTTGCGTCATCAATTTGACGTATGAGAAGTTTTCAGCTTTAAATTAAGAGGCGTAAATGTATGAATGCAGACTATATGTTAATACTAAGAATTCAGTAACATGTAAAACATTGCATGTCGCAGAAATGTTGTTTTTCTATCTTCTTTATCGTAACTACTTAAAGATGAACGCACACTAACGAAACATACAAAAGCAAATACGTTTTACTGTGCTATTTTAAGAAGCTATATTAAGCTAGGCTTAAGAAAGTTTTTAAGGTTTTTCTTCGACTTGTATCGTACACATAAACCTATATAATGCCACTGAGTAAGTTTATAGTAAGTAAATCTGACTACATTAAATTTAACCGGCTCTTTTAAAAATAGTTTGCAATGAAGTTGAATGGTTTTTTTTAATAAATATTTAGAGATGAGACCTATTATAAATGATTTAGGGATCCTGTTTGCTATTTCATTTGTAATAAACATCATTCAAAAAATTAAATTTAATTAAATTTTATGAAAAAAATTAAAAAAATATATTACAAATTTATATAAATTATTCATTAATACTTATTATTCATTTATATTAATTTTTTTTATTTTATGTGTTTCTATTAATAAAATTATATATTTATAAAAAATAAATATAAATTATTTAGGAAATAAAATTATATTATTTTTATAAAAATATATATAATTGAGTTATTTTTTTTTTTAAATTATAAAAATTATTTTTATTTAGGAGTATAATTTATATATTATAAAAAAATTTATATATTCATATGTAAAAATATGTATTCATATGTCATATGTAAAAATTTATATATTCATATGTTATAATTTATATGTAAATTTATATATTCTTTTATAGCAAAGCATTTCTTCATCGTCTTTGTACAGAAACCAGATAGACGGCTGCTTGCGCAGCCATGTTGCTTCCAAATTAGTTAGTAGCATGCATATCAAAGAAGCTTGCGCAGCCAAATTGCTCCGCAAAATGCCAAATCAGCATACATATCATACATATTTATAATACGAACAGTCATCCTGAGCCTCCAGAAAGTGTTTCTATAATGAAACGTGCTGAGCAAGTTGAAACCCTTCATTTGAGCCGTGGATATCTTGGGAATAACATGGTTGTTTACACCTGTCCCGAAATGGCAGAGATGCATTTGATTTATAGCTCAGCTGTCAGCACCGGACAAAGAACTGTGTGAATGTATTGGCAGCGATATCATGGTAGACGGACATCTTGTAAGTCCCTGTTTGCCACTCTAAACTGATGATTGGGCGAAAGAGATTTGTGGATTCGGCCACAAACTTACTGCTGTTCGTCGATGAACCACTCACATATTTGCTACATAAGTAAGCGTCACCCACGAAGTGGAACGTAATCCTTCGACAGGTTGGATAACGAGATGTTTCCCGAAAACACCCTATCCCACAATCCCCCATTTGACGAAGTGCACACGAAGCGACTACAACTACTTTTCAAACTACAACGTTCAGAGTCGTTAGGAGACCACACCACGCACATTGAGTTTGCACCTTGGTAAATATAAGAACGTGCTGCAGATCAAAACTTTTCAACCAGTAGTCTCTTCACTGATCTGCATTCTCACTTGAAGATTGTTCATATCTTGCATCTCTGTGCTTATGAAAAGGCACCCGTTACACGCACGCGTAAGTCTTTAAATGGGTTTGTTTTTTTACTTATGGTCATGACCTCCTGTTTCTCTTACTGGGTAATTATTGCAATTGGAAAAAAATTAAAGTATTAACTTTGATAGTATATTTTTTATAGAAAACATACAATGCGCCTTCGCAGAGTGAATGAAATTTGTTATGCATGGAAGCAATTATCATTTACTCTCAAAAACACGTAGTATTGTTTTTAGAACAAATAATATGGTGCTGTCAGCATACGCTTCCGTATATATAGAAAAAGTCTCAATGGATTTTAAGTGTGCATTGCTTCAAAATAGTGAAAAAGTGATGCATATCAATCAGAAACGGTATAAGACCTAGCCGGCTTTTCTGAGTCTAAGATCGCCTCTGGCCTGCTGGCCTCGCCTACATTTCCCGAAAAGCAATGCAATTTATCTGACGAAGAACACTGTGCACGCATAACTACTGTGATCAAGAAGAAGGACATTGCACAGAATCTCTACGATGCATATGCTGCAGCGCTGACTGGATATTCTATCGATGATGATGACCTTAAACAGCTGAAGAAACGCCATGATGATCTCCAGCTTGCAATGAGGGAGGTAAGCAAACTTGAGCTTTGCCCATTGTCATCTTGTAAAAAACATAAAATTATAAACTTTAACTCTCAAATTAAGCGCAATGCTGCCCATCTTAATAATCATGAACATGATAATGACGGTTTTACTATGCCCTTCAAAAAGCTTATTGCTAAGGTCAATTGCACTAAAAATCCTCAACATTTAGTTGAGACCAAAAATTCGTTTGACAAACATATTGTAGACGAACAGGAGGAGCAGAACTCTGATACCACCCCTATACTTAAGAAAATGCCACTCATTATGATCAAGCCCACAGAAAATCAAAAAACTATGCTTGCCAAATTTGACAAATTTTTTTAAATTAAAGTTACTATCAAAATTGCGGGTGAAATGATCAAGATGTTTCCCTTCGACGAAAATCAGCACAGCGCTATAATCAGATATCTAACAGAAAACTCCGTCGAATATTTTGTGATAACGCCTAAAGATCAACGTTATTTAAAGGTCGTTATCAAAGGCCTAATCTAGGCTACTCTGTTGACAAGGTAGCCCAGTTAAAAAGATCTAAAACCAAGCAGCCTCTACCAATCTATCAGATTACCCTTGCTAGGGAACAAAAAAGCATGGAAATTTTTAAACTAGAACGATTGCTATACTTTACTGTAAAAGTTGAGAAATTTAACTTACGACCAATGACCCTCCAATGTTTTAAATGTAATAATTTCCATCACAATGCTAATAACTGTGGATTTAAACCTAGGTGTCTTAAATGTGGTGA